GATCATTTATTTCAAACATTTTTGCAAGAAATACAGATGTCTTTAGGTACTGTTCAGAAGAAATGCTCAGAAACAATGGATGCAAATGAATCTGACATCATCTGGAAAGGATTCATCAACAGATTCAACACTGTAGCTTCAAATCTGAAGAACGTCTGTTCTGATGAGGCAAAAATCAGAGCTGAAAGGACTCTATTATGGATTGTCAACAAAACAGAACCTCTGCTTCATTTAGATGCTCCTCCACCTTCAACAGAATCTACTGCTACTGCATTGACTATGACTCTGGTAGAACCCTCTTCAGGATCTACAGAACCAATGGCAATTGACTCTATTCAGGCTGCAGAACCTCCACCTTCTTCATCTGAGATAAAGACAGAACATCCAGACCTTGAAGACAAGATTGCTGCTCTGGAGGCTGGACAGTCTGAGATAAAATCCTGGATGGCTAAGCAGGACAAGAAGTCTGAGGATATGACAGAATGGATGTCAAAGCAAGATGATAAGAATGAAACTATGACTAAGTGGATGTCCAAGCAAGAGCAATCCTCCTCTGAGATTACAGATCTATTGAAGATGCTTTTGTCCAAACACTCTTAGATTTTTTTTCATTCTAATGTTTTTGCATCTATTGTTTGCATCTGTACCTTATTGCTATATCGTCTGATGATTACCTATGTACTCTTGCTCTGTTATTTTGAATGAATCAAGTTTTCTCCATTGAATTATCTAATTTACTGTTCCTTTTAGTTGTCTTTTTAAAAGTTTTTACTTTTTGCTTATGACAAAAAAGGGGGAGAAAATATAGATCTGAACTGTTTAATATAACTTCACTAGAATGAATGAATCTTCAGACATATCTATTCCATCTAACATTTAACTTGACTATTTCAGAACATTTGATAAGTACACTCTATAAAAGAAACTCTGAGTCTCTCAGATCATTTGTCTATTATCAAACTCTGAATCTTATATCTGCAAGACATTCTGACCCTAAAATGTTATAAGAACAAACAAGATCTAACTCTGAAGATTACTCAAGACAAAAGGGAAGTTTCTATTCCTTTTTCATATTTAACTTAGGGGGAGATTCATCATCTCAGGGGGAGTTATAATTCTATATGTTCAGTTAAATAAAATTTCTGATACTTTTTGTCATCATCAAAAAGGGGGAGATTGTTAGAACACAGATTGGTTCTTAATAATAACTCTTTGTTTTGATGATAACTGTTAGGAAATTTTATATTTAAGAATTATATACTCTAAAATTTATTTGAGAGTTTTACTGCAGATTGAAATGAAATTAACTCTCTAGAAGCAAATCTGTATTGTACACAAGAAGTTATCCTGACTCTGAAGCTCCAGATGCATCTTACAGAAGATTCTGATTGCTCTTTACAGAAGATCCTGAGCGTAGTCTCCAGAAGGATCTGCAGCAAGAAGCTCCAGAACATTCTGAGTCAGAAGCATCTGAAGATAGTCAGAAGCATCTGAAGCTGAAGCATCTGAAGCAAAGAAGAATATTGTTTGAAGAGTTTCTCAAAGCATAATTCTACAGAAGTTTCTGAAAGTACTAACGCTGTCAAGTACTGAAGTTCTGTGTCAAATATGCTCTGATAATCAACACGCTGAAAGCACACTTGCTGCAAAAGACTCTGATACAACAAAGTTCTGAATATCATTAGAAGACTCTGATCCATTCAGACTCTGAAGAACTTGCTGAAAACTGAAGAAGAAATATTCAAGAATATATTTGTTGGAGAAAATCAACGTCTCTTTCCTCTTTTGTGCTAGACACAATTACACAGACAAAAATGATTTTTCTGTGTTATCTACTTCAAGGAAAGGTCACTTGATGTGAAGACAAAAAGGCTCAGACCTTTTTGGAACTCTCTTTTCAACGCTCAACATCCTTGGATCAGCTGCCTATAAAAGGAGAACTCCACCACATTCTTCAGTTACACTATTTGCTGAAAAGAAATCATATTATTCTAAGCTCTCATTCTTTCATATTCTTCTTAGAATTTCTTGTACTTAAACTTAAGAGAAAAATCACTGTTGTGATAAAAGCTTTATAGAAGCATTTATACTCTTGTATTTAATTTACATTGATTGTAAAGGTTTTTCCTTAAGAGGATTCAGTTGGAATGAGTAGCTCTTGAGAAGACTAAGAACAGTTGTTCTTAGGTGTTACTATTGTAATCAGTTTGATTTAATAGTGGATTAAGTCCTTGTTGAGAAAGGCAAATCACTCTAGGAAGGGTGGACTAGAGTAGTTGTTTAAACGAACCAGGATAAAAATAATTGTGTGATTATTTTTTAAGGCTTAATCTTTCATACTTATTCAACCCCCCTTCTAAGTATTATCTCACCTTCAATCGCATGGATTGAAGATGAAGAACTTCTCCAAGACTCTGATGCCTGAGCAGGCTCGACGCTCCACTTCTTACTGCTCTTGTTGAGCGATGGCACAATGAGACATTTTCCTTTCAGCGTCCATTTGGGGAGATGACTACCACTCTGAATGATGTCTCCTCGTTGTTCCATCTCCCCATCACCGATAAATTCTTCACGAGCTGCATTCATAGCCTGGTGAACCCAGATTGTGAGGTTTTTTATTAAGTTATCTCGGGCTGCACGCATAGCCAGTGTGGGACATATTTAGATATTATTGTTATTTTTATGTATTATTTGTATATTACGTGTAACAACATTTTTTATTAGATAACATTTTGGATCTTCCATTGATGCAAGATGAACATAATTTAACATTTGACAAAGGATAAGACAACTTAAACAAAACTTAAGAAAACGATAATAAATAAGAAAACCTAAACACTACCAGATGATTTTAGATGTTTCATTATCTTAATTATGTCGCCGATATATCTTGAAATCTTCGCATCTAACTCGATCAGCCCCTTTGTTAGCCTACGACAAAATGATCTCCACATAACTGTCACATGTTCATCGGTCTTCAACTCAAGAAGTTTGTATTTCACCTTCCATTAATATTAATCCAATCTTCATGAAACTCGATCTTTCTCACCTTTTTGTTATCAGTGTCAGACAACAATTCATTTAACTTGGATGTCAAGACGACGAGAGATATGATGTCATACGGAAGCCTAAACTCTACGGGAGTTGAAACTCCGTTGAAGTACACTTCTGCCTTAACCAAAAATCGAGGAAGAGATATCTTGAGATATTTTTGTCAAAGAACATGTGACCCCTATTTATACAACTTTAAATTCATTATGGATCACACAAAATGGTCGGTACAATCACAACCGTCCAAAATTGTCAGCAAAATTCAAACCATTTAAAATATCATAAAATTAAACTATCAGAAATTTATTTTTGGTTGAAATTTTCAATAAAATACAATACTTTTTAACATTTTCGGTAAAACTGCAAACTCCCAGACTTTATAGAAATTATGGTATACCGGAAATTCCGAACACATTACCAAAAATTTTAAATTGACTACCAAAAATTTTGTACATAAATTTGATTCAAATTTTTAGTAAAGTCACTTATAAATTTATGAAAGAGAATTTCTTACCTCACCCCTTGGGATTCTTAGGCACCATGTGCGCTTTCAAATATACCCCTCTGCTTCTGGAGATGTATCTCCGGACACACCTTTTTTTAATTCAACGTTGGTTTTTTCCAAAGCTACATCTACGAAATATTTCCTTTTATATAGCTCCGGAACAAATTGAAATACATTCACGTCAGAGTCTCTTCTCCTCCTTATTTTTCATTTTTCATCTTCTTCACTCTCAAACTCTCTAAACTCTCTCAATCCTCAAAAAATATTTTTCCACTAAACTTAACTTTTTTTAATCAAGTTCGACAAGGAGCATTCATTTCAACGATCAAGACACTCCAACTCATTTAAAGCTCAATATAATCAGTAAATTTTCAAGTTTCTGTGGTATTTTCGAGTATTTCCCGTAAACGAGTTAGAATATAGTTTTAGGGGTAGAAATTCTTAGATAGTTTTAGAAATATAGTTTATAGATAATGTAGGTATTGTTTGTTGGCTGAAACAGACGACCAGGGCTTCAAAAAAACCGATTTTTATGGGTAGGCGACGCCATTGTCGTGACTGTTGGAGTTGCAGGAAGCTCTAGAGCTACATCTACGGAACAAATTAACATTAGGGCAATTCCTAGATGCATCTCGGGAACAAATCGAACTTTCTGAATTCTGGGTTCTTCCGTAGATACATCTACATAAGTTTTCCGTATGTTCACATTCGGAGTAAAAAAATGTTAATTTTTTCTTTTTTGTTTTTTAATTTATTTGTATCTAATTTTTTTTCTTGGTTATACGCTGCAGACATTATGACAGATAGAGAAGATAAATTGCGACTTGGACGAGATTCACAACATGCATCTGTGAGACGCGAGAGGTGCCGGACCACCATTATCGAGGCTGATATAGCTGAGGCACATCCTTCTTCGTCACATGCCCAAAATATTCCCTCAACTTCGTATCCCACCTCATCATCCACTTCTTTATCCCGGAGGCGTAGGGATTCAGCTGAGGGTTCATCACAAGCCCCGTCCTCCCGCAGGCCTCGTCAGGATACTCTTGTTCCTCCTCTTGCCAATGATCTAGTGCCACCTCTAGAGGGTGATGACCCACCACCGGAGGATGCTGCTGACGGTGATGATAAGGAGCCTGAGGGTTTCCCAGGGGGTCCCTCAGATATGTCCCTGCTGATAGGGTACGCTGACCATACTGTCAAACATGTCTGAGATAGAGAGGTAACATTACTTTGTTTCTTTTTTTTCATTAGAAATTTATAATTTGTACCACCGTTTCTTATTTATGGAAATTTTCAGACTCATCAGCCGCAAAAGTTCTATAACCACAATCAGAAGAAATTATCTTTGGAGCAGACACATGAGGCTTGGTTCTAGGATGTCCTTACCGCCTTTGGTTTGAAGGACTTTTATGAGATAAGTTACAGCCTAATCCATAACGGGATGCTGATGGGCTTTGCGAAGAGATGGCACCTTGAGACGTCCTCCTTACATCTCCTACACGACGAGCTCACGGTCACACTTGACGACATCTCCTGTCTGCTACATATACCGATCAGGGGTACTCTCCTCCGTCACGGTAGGATGACGAAGGAGAATGTGAGAGAGATGTTGGTTGAGGAGCTTGGGACTGATCCATTGGATGCGCTTGAGGAGGTGGATAAGACCAGAGAGGCTCATGTGAGGTTCTCCTTTCTCACGCGTAGATTTGGTGAGGCGCTCATTGCTGCACGCCAGGCAGATGATGGTCCAGTTGAGGTTGAGATACAGAGGCAACATGTGCTGAGGTGTTATTTTCTATTTTTAGTCGGCACTCAGCTGTTTGTGGACACTTCCTCCATATATACAAATGTCGCTTACTTTCGGTACTTTTTGGATTCCATACAGATCCATGAGTACAACTGGGGGGCGGCTACCCTGGCTTACATGTATTCGAGGTTGGGAGAGGGAGGCCTATGGAAGACTAAAACTATGGCAGGGGACGTGGCACTACTTGTGGTAACAATCTTATATCCTTTGACTTTTTTTCATTTCTTTTCATTATATATTCGTGATAATGCTTGATCCTGATGTTTTTTTATTTTCATTTCAGGCTTGGATATTCCAGCACTTTCCCATGATCTCTGGGTGGGGGAGTGTGCCTGATTAGAGCTGATGTCGCGTGCCCGTGCCTCTCTCCCGCTCAGGGGGAACCAGACGGTCCACCTTTACAGAGTCTATCTCGATCGCCTGGCTGCTGAGGACATCCGCCACAACGTCTATGCTGATCATCGTGTGACACACTCGTTTGACGATATATCACTATTCTCAAGATGGTTGGTATATAGTTCAACCATCATTGTTCCATATTTGCCCGAGCGCGTCATGCAGTAGTTCAGATACACATAGACGATACCCAGACACCCAGCTGCCTCTGCTCCTCTCGGCTTGACCTGTATGCAGATAGATGGGATCTATGCCGACTACCAGAGGCACATGGTCCCGGACGAGGCTCGGGCGACCAGAGCGTCGAGAGACTAAAGTTGTGTTGATGGATACATCATGTAGTTCTTCATTGTCTCACACCCCTACATGGTGCCAACTGCAGAAGGATCACAACCCAAACCAACTCATCAAGAGATCTTAGAGGAGCAGCAGTCTCAGTTAGACCACACTCAGGATGTCCTGCCACGCTATCGTCATTTAGTGGAGATGGGGCGGGCAAGCATTATCGTCGGTTTCTTCCCTAAGGGGTCCGACCACATGTGTGTATTGGATGAGATGATTGCGGTGGAAGAGGCGATACTTATGTACCGCAGACATCTCACAGGACGGGTGGGATCGATGACCGAGAACGCAGACGAGACGGTTGAGGAGGTGATAGAGACAAACGATGCGACAGAGGCATAGGCGGAGGAGGGGATGAAGATGTTGTCAGACACACACAATTATGACATATTACTTCTTATATATATAGTATTATTTTATTTACGAATGTATGTTATTTTATATTTATATGCAACAGTTAATTTCCAATTGCGACTAACAAAACTTGATTTTAAAAAAAAAACCTGTTCTGATAAGATTTTGGAGATACATTTACAAAACTTTTTTCGTAAATATGTCTTCGAAAGCATTCAACGTAAAAAAAAAAAATTTAAATATATATCTCCAAAAACAAAGAGCATAATTTTTTTTTTACTAAATGTGGAAGAGTTTAAGAGGAAGATTAAGAAATTCTCTTTGTGCAGATATCAATACAACCGGGGTGCTAGTTAAATGCTTTCCACTCTCCCTAACGGCGCTTGTCAAACATTAAGCCATAAGAGGACAAGACTCAACAAAACACACCCCACCCCTCATGGCTCTCTTTATTTTTAATCTTATTATTATTATTATAAATAATTGTTTTTTATTTTACAATAATTTCATAGAAAAGAAACAAAAAATTGCAGACCTGTTCAAACAGAGAACAAGCCAAACCCATGACAAAAAACAATTTTGAAGCCAAGTTTGAAAATTCACTTCATCTCTAATAAATTTTGATTCACCAGGTCAACTCATCTCAATTACACAACTTAGCTAACTTCCACAACAATAATACCTTTTCAAACTTTCTAACTCTTTTAGCCAATTATCAAACACAAACCCAAAATCTACAATGGAACAACAACACAGATTCACCTTCTTCATTTCTCTTCCCTTATTCATCTTCTTCCTAGCAGCTTCAATCCCACCCACAACTGAATCCAAATGCACCAAAGGCTGTTCATTAGCCTTAGCCAACTTCTACCTAGCAACTGGCACCAACCTCACTTATGTTGCAGGTAACCACCATAACAATAATCAATTCTCATTCTCAATTTTCAAAATTCAATTCTAATTAATTACTCTTTTTTTCTCAGGTATCATGAAATCCCCAATTCTCACAAAACCAGAAGATATAGTTGAATACAACAGAGACACTGTCCCTAACAAAGACATCATTCTTGGCGGCGAAAGACTCAACATTCCGTTCCCGTGTGATTGTATCAACGGCGAGTTTCTTGCTCATAGTTTTAGTTACGATGTTCAAACCGGTGATACCTATGCTTCTGTTGCTGGATCCAACTATGCTAATTTAACCAATGTTCAATGGTTGAGAGCGTTTAATAGTTATCCGCCGAATAATATTCCTGATACTGGAACGTTGAATGTTATGGTTAATTGTTCTTGTGGAGATAGACAGATTGCGGATTATGGCTTGTTTGTTACCTATCCTCTTAGGCCTGGTGAGACTTTGGGGTCTGTCGCGAATTCGACTAAACTTGATTCAGGGTTGCTGCAGAGGTATAATCCTGGTGTGAATTTTAATCAAGGGAGTGGACTTGTTTTTATTCCTGGCAAAGGTTTGTAACTTTAATCAACTATTTGTTTGCTGCTAAATATAGTAACTTAGAGTTAAATTCAAATAAGCGTGTGGATGTAAGTGAAAATATGATCTTTTATATAAATTTAGAACATTTTTAGAAATGCTTAATTGTTAATGGCATGATGAAATTATTGGGATTTGCCTGATATGAATAAGGTCAAGCCTTTCTTTGCATTGTCGGTTAGGTTATAGAATAATGGCTAATCAGAGTAGTTCATGTAGTTAAGACTTGTTATAGTTAGTTAGTTATTTGAATTAGTTAGAGAGTACTGTATGTGTGTATAGATAGGAGAATACAAAGGTTAGAGATAGTATCTTTTGAATATTGTAAGGTTTGTGAATAGAGTAGCAACCTAGTTGTGAAGGGAAACCGTTAGATGAGAGATTCTTTCCTATTTATTAATAAAAATGTTCTTTCCTATCACACGCTCAGGGATCTTAGTTGATTCTTGACGGAGCAAACCATAGAGCAAGCGATTGCATTCCGCGGCAGTAAAGGGGACCTAGCCTCGTATTTATAGTATTGTAACCCTAAGTACCTCCTGTCATGGGTCTAAAGGTTATAGCCTTAACTGTTAGGATTGTAAGGATCATCAAATGGATCATAACATTAATCCAACAACAACAACGAAACCTTATCTTACTAAGTGGGGTCAACTACATGGATCAAATTACGCCATAATGTTTATCTGTTTTTGAAAGAGAAAAAAGAAACCCAAATTGATTGTTGTAGTCACAAGAATTATTAGGAAAATTTGTAACAGTGGTTTACTAACAAACATCATGTGTATCTTCAGACGTGTCTTTAACTATTTTCTTATTTATTACAAAATTCAATATAAGCATCTTATTTTGTTCTTTCAATTGTTTTTTCTTCCAGATAAAAATGGTAGCTATGTGTTATTGGATAACAGGTAAATTTTGTTACTCTACATTGTATGCAATCTGTGTTCATATGGTTGCGTTAAATTTTGCACGCCAATGATGAAATTCATGATGTGTTCATATTGTTGCGTTAATTTTTCGCTCGCCTATGAATTGATGAAACTAATGACCGTGTTTTTTATTCTCTTATGCAGTTCAGGAGGTTTGGCTTTCTCTCTTATCAGAAAATTGGTTTTGATGCGTGTGGTCTGCATATATAATGGTAGAAGGAAAATTCTACTTTGAACTCATATTTTGCTTTTATATAAGCAGTTCTTGCTGGCGGGGCTATTGCTGGAATAGCTGTTGGAATAGTTGTTCTTCTGTTATTGGCAGCTGCTGCATATTTTGGATACTTCCGAAAGAAGAAGATACAGAAGGCGGATTCTCTTTCACGAGATTCCACTTCACTTTTCCCTCAGGATGGGAAGGGTATGTTTATTTCTTCTTATATTCCTTCCAAAACTTCCCTTCTCTTACCTTTAATGGAGTTAATAGTTAATACCTGTAATGGTATTATCTCGTCTTTTATTCTGGTACAGACAAACGAGCGCGCGCGCGCACACACACGCAATATCATCTTCTCAATATGTGCTACTCAATTTTCTCTAGTGTACATTTGTTCCTCTTATTTGTCACAAGAGCACGTTTGGTCCTACTATCATCTTTTTTTGTTCCAATCATCTACCACAAACAATCTCATCACTGCAACTCCTATTGTTTTTTACTCTCGTTGGAGCCCTACTAAACATTTAGTATCTTTAGCTCTTACATGTTCTTAAAAATAAACTGTAGCTAATGATTTGGCGCTTTTCAGATGAAACTTCTCGTAATGCTGTGATCACCGGCATAACAGTCGACAAATCAGTTGAATTCTCATATGATGAACTGGCAGCTGCCTCAGATAACTTTAGCATGGCTAATAAAATCGGTCAAGGAGGTTTTGGCTCTGTCTACTATGCAGAGCTGAGGGGAGAGGTGAGTAATAACATTTATTATAAGTATTTATTCAGAAAAATGCCGTTCTGATATTCATAGGAATGTATCAATGTTTATTCATCAAGGTTTAGTATTTGGCTGATTGTTAGTTGATTGAAAACAAGTTGAAGTAGAAGATTAGAATATGAATATATGGATAATATGTGATAATCTATCAGATATAGTTAATAAGCTTAGCTATTATGTTACACGACTGAATCGTGAATGAAAAAAAGGAGACACTGAGAACCTTGGTAATTCATGATTCATCGCAATTCGGGCCAGTAAATCTAACTTTCCATATTGGGATCAAAGCTGAAGATATCATCCTTTCAAATATCAACATATTCACCATTTTTTGGTTGTTTGTGACACACTATTGTGGAAACCAAGCTGGAAAGTACTTGTGACTTGTGAGAAAGGGTTGAGAGTTGCTTCAAAATGGTTTTCCAATGACGAATTAGGATTCTTCAACAACCAAACTGGATAAGAGGAAATGATGACAATATTGAAACAATTTGATTGATATTTTTCCTTTCATTTTACATTTTACTGAGAAAGTTTATCCTTGATTTCTTAAAAATTGAGATTGTTGTATAATATTTACCATGATTTTGTGTTCTCTAAATTACAACAGAATTCATTTTGCTTTACATAATTCTACACTGATGAATCACAGTATGTTTGTTCTAAAAAGCCACTCTATACTGTTCCTATTAGAATTCATATTCTCATTCCATAAGCCAATAATTTTGCTGATGCAGAAAGCTGCAATAAAAAAGATGGATATGCAAGCAACAAAGGAATTTCTTGCTGAATTGAATGTCCTGACACGCGTTCATCATCTTAACTTGGTACTAATCCCTTAAAACTTGAACCATTTATTTGTATTAATTTTGTCTACCATTGACTTGCTCCATGCGGGCAAGTTTTATTCCAAGAGAACTTTTAGTAATTCCATTGACTGGATCTAGCTAGGGTAAATTTTGTAACATCTCACTTTAAGTGATTTGAACGTGTGGAGAAGACTTGTAGAAGCTCCAGTAGTATGTGTAGATTAGACAGAGCACAGTCTCAACTGTTATAGTAGAGAGACCAAGAAAGGTTATAGGTCCGACAAACCATAAATCGGATTTATATTTAAATGATTTGACATCAGAAGTTATTTACAGTACAATATTATGGTGCCAAGGCTTTAGTTGTTGCAGTGATGGGAGCATTAGCTTGAACATAGACTTGGTGGTTTGAATTTTAGTAATTTATTTTGTGTAATGTCTTAAACTCTTAACGATCATCTAGGTGCGGTTGATTGGATATAGTATTGAGGGATCTCTTTTCCTTGTCTATGAATACATCGAGAATGGAAACTTGAGTCAGCATTTGCGTGGTTCAGGTTAGAACAACTTATACTTTAGTTTTTATTTTCCTATGTACTGTGATTGTCTTGTGGTAACAGTAATGTGATAATTTTTTTCAGGTAGAGATCCACTGCCATGGGCTACACGTGTGCAGATTGCTTTGGATTCTGCCAGAGGTCTTGAATATATCCATGAGCATACAGTGCCTGTATATATCCATCGTGACATAAAGCCAGCAAATATATTGATAGACAAAAACTTCCGGGGGAAGGTTGAATGTGTTACGAGATTGATGTATCGCTATTTTTATTATTTGGATCAATATGGAAGCTCATAAAAATGTTCATGTTTGTAGGTCGCTGATTTTGGATTGACAAAACTGACGGAAGTTGGAAGCTCATCACTTCCCACTGGTCGTCTTGTAGGCACATTTGGATACATGCCACCAGAGTACGATTTACCGAACATCTACTCAACTTTTTTTCTAAGTTCATGTGAAAGCTTTTATTAAATTATGAATGAAAGTGAATGCAGCCATTGCAATTAACAAATATGTTATTATCCCAAAGAAATGGAAGTTATGTACCTTTGAAGTTGATGAGTGCATGGTTATGTGAAGGTATGCTCAATATGGAGATGTTTCTCCCAAAGTAGATGTTTATGCCTTCGGAGTTGTTCTTTATGAAATTATTTCGGCGAAGGAAGCAATCGTCAAGACCAGTGAATCTGTTGCTGCAGACTCAAAGGGACTTGTATCTATGGTCGGTCTTGACTTCACTACTAAAGATTTTTTTAAACTATAAAAAGTCTTTCCTCATCAACCTAAATAGTGGTATTAATTTCTTTTCATTTTTATCGTGCAATGCAGTTTGAAGGAGTTCTTAGTCAGCCCGATCCTACCGAAGATCTTCGTAAAATAGTGGATCCAAGGCTTGGGGATAACTATCCTGTAGATTCAGTGCGCAAGGTGAGAACATCTGTTAATAAACCCTTTAGTGTTAACAATTTCAAGAATGTTAAACCTATGGTTGCTGTTTTTGCTTGCAGATGGCTCAACTAGCGAAAGCGTGTACACAGGAAAATCCTCAACTGCGTCCGAGTATGAGATCCATTGTGGTTGCTCTTATGACACTTTCTTCAACTACGGACGATTGGGATATTGGCTCCTTTTACGAAAACCAAAATCTTGTGAATCTTATGTCAGGAAGATAGGATTATTCAAACGCATTGATTTTGTATGCACAATGTTTGGAGTTAGATTTTTGACATTGCTGCAATTGTTGAAACAGAAGTGTTTATAAAATGGATTTAGCAGGTAGGAATTTGTACATTATAATAGCTGTATTCAGTAGGAAAGAGTGAAGGGATCAACAATTTTATCATTATTTACCATCAATGGAAACATTATCTTAGGCATTGAGACATGCATCTGTTTCTCTGTCCAGATACATTAATCCATGTAAGTTTGTCTAATAAATTATTTTTAAGGCCTCTGATGTTATACTTAATAAATTATAGTTTTTAATTATTATTATTTTTTTATAATCAACTTTGTATTCAAATAAGAGAATTAGGAGTAATCTAATCCGATTACAAAAGAAAGCATATAAGCACAGAAAGTTATTAGCACAATTTAAAATTATCGAGTGAACTTTTACACCACTCTTAAAAATTACAATTGATCCCAATTGTATAAAAATTTGAATTTTTTTTATCATAAGAAATCTGAACCTAATTAGACAAACAAATTTAAAAGAAGTTGAATTTAAATATAACACCCGAGTCAAAGTTATTGGTTTGATATAGCGTTTATAAATTTTAAACCGTACCGAATCGTTTGACAATTTGATTAGTTAGATTTAAAATTTTGATCAGTTAGATTTAAAAATTCCAAACAGTAATGAATAAAAAACCATCTAATACCGAATCAGACCATCTCTAGACAATTTAATCAAAGATAAAGTCGTTATAATTTTATTAATGTAAGATTTTTTTAAAAATAAAAATAAAAAACATCTAAAATGCGAAGGATTACGTACATATCCATATTTATGAATGCCCGCAACTTATATAATATCCTAGTATTTTAAGTAGGACTGTTTATGGTATGATTTTATGAGAAATTCGAACCGAATTAAATTATAGTTAAAGTTCACTCGAATCGAATCGGACCGTTTCACTTTACTCATAATCAAACCGAGCCAAAACTATTGGTTTGATATACTGTTTAGAAATTTCGAACCTTACAGAATCGTTAGAAAACAAATTTTCCAAATCGAACTATTTGTTAAAGAACTGAATCGTTAAACTATTTTTTGTTTTTTTTAATATAAAACAATTTTTCATTTTCAATTTCGATTCAATTCGGTTTCAGTTTCGATTTGATTTATTTGTCATATAATTTCAGTTCTAGAACCATTAGTAGAATATAATTCAATTCACTAATCAAACACTTTGGTTCGCCGGTTCAATTTGGTTCACAAATTTTTTAAACACTGCTAATTTTAAGAAATAAGAATTATATCTTAGGACATTTTTATTGGCACTAGATACAATTAACATAGCAAAATATATTCAATTGCAATAACATAGTCTTAAACATAGTCTTAAGTAGAGCCGTCTTTGAGGGTGTGTAAGACGATCTACCGCACAAGACTTCAAAATTTTCAACATATTATAGTTAAATAAGGTCTAATAAAATATTTATCAGGTTAAATTATGATTAGGACCTCTATTTATTTTGTCTTTATTAAACCGTGATTAACCTGCATAGGATCTCCAAAAAATTTAAAATGACTCTGGTTTTAAGTACAAAAGTAAACACACATTAAAAATATAAACTAAGAGATAATGGATTGTCGAACAATCTTCAATTAACTTTCTCCTTCCTTTTTCTATTACCTACTTACCTGAAATAAAATAAACAATATGAGATGAGATGATAATCTCAGGAGAATTCTCTCTAAAACCAAAATTTCATGGATTGTCGAACAATCTTCAATTAACTTTTTCCTTCCTTTTTCTATTACCTACTTACCTGAAATAAAATAAACAATATGAGATGAGATGATAATCTCAGGAGAATTCTCTCTAAAACCAAAATTTCATATGAGGTCATAGGTTACACACTGGTTCGTCCATCAGTCAACATTACATACCTTAAAGATTTTCGAAGATGCTACACATATTCCAATTCTTGGGATTAAATCTTACTCTCCATGTACTATAGAAATGCCATGCTATTCCCTTTTTGTCTCAAATTATAAGTCAATTTATCAAAAAAAATAATAATTGTCTTTCACATAACCTGAGGTAGTAATTTGGGATTGAAACTTAGGGATGTGTGTAAAAAAAAACTTATAATTTAGAACGGAGTTACTAAAACTTATAGGATGCAAGCTCACAAACTCAATTAATGATAATTATTAGTTCCACCTTTGGGATATGTGTCAAAAAAAATTATTAGTAATTGTTGGTAATTTTTTTTAAAATCGAACTATTTGTTAAAGAACATAAACGTTAAACTATTTTTTTTACTATTTAAAAAAAAGTATCAATCTTATAATTTGGGACGGATGTAGTAATTACTAACACTTATAGGATGATGTACACAAACTCAATTAATGGTAATTGTTGGTTCCAGCTTCCCTCGTCTTGCAGAATGCAAGCTCGCAACATATCTTCAACTGTTTGAGTTTTTCTTTCTGTTTGACCATCGGATTATAGGTGGTTTTCTGAACTAAGATCCAATATCAATCACATGGCCTGATGAAAATCCCTTCAAAATATCAGTGTGAACTTTAGGTTTTCCTCAGACACAATACTTAGTGGTATACCGTGCATCCTTACCATCTCTATGATAAAAAGTTAAGCCAATTGAAGAACCTTGTAAGTAGTTTTTTAATTGGAAAAAGTGAGCTAACTTGGTCATTCTGCCCACTACCACACAAATTAAATCATATCCACTGTTGTTCGAGGTAACTTGACTATAAAACTATAAAAGGCATATAAATGTTCTCCCATTTCCACTCCGGTATTTCTAGAGGTTGTAACATTTCGTCGAGCCTTTGCCGTTCAATACTCACTTGCTAACTTATACACATTGGGCTGCAAATTATGCTATTTCTTTCTTCATGACTGACCACTAAATGTTCTTTTTTAGATCATGATATATTTTGGTCGAACTAGGATGTATAGTGAAGTTACACTTATGAGCTTCTTCAGGGATTTCCTTCTTCAATATGGCATAATTCGGGATACAAATTCTCCCTTCAAACAAAAGGACTCCATCAGATGATTGGCTGAATCTTGGTATGCTCAACCCGAATTGTATGTCTACATCCCTCAGTTACATTTAACAATCTCTCTCTCTCTCTCTCTCTCTCTCTCTCTCTCTCTCTCTCTCTCTCTCTCTCTCTCTCTCTCTCTCTCTCTCTCTCTCTCTCTCTCTCTCTCTCTCTCTCTCTCTCTCTCAGTCGCATAAAATGGTCATTTGACTCAACAAAATTCCTTTTTGACTTAAAGTAAAGTTTAAATCAATGTCTCTAACTTTCTCCAGTAAGTCGTGCTCTAAATCATCCGTTTCGTAGTGTGCAACTCCTTCTAGCATAATGCATCTGCCACTTTATTGGTCTTCCCGGGGTGGCACTTTAAGTAAAAGTTATAATCCTTTATAAAGTTCATCAACATCCTTTGCCACATGTTAAGTTCCTTTTGACCAAATAAATACTTCAAGCTCTTGTGATTATTGAACATCTCAAAATGTATTTCATAGAAGCAGTGTCTCCATATCTTAAGTGCAAAAATGATCGTGGCTAGATCCAAGTCACGAGTTAGATAATTTTATGTGGTTCAAATTATCAGAATGCATAATCCAATACTTGTCCATTTTATATTAGTAGTTATATTATTCTTTAGCTTCTATATGCTCGTTTATAATCTGCATCCCACTTAAATTGAACATTCTTGCATGTTAATGGGGTCAAAGATAGTTTCAGTTGAGAAAATCCCATAATAAATATCATGTAATATCCGACGAGTCTTAGACAACTCTTAACTTTGGAAGCATTCTTGGGTCTCTCTCAATTTAATACTGCTTCCACCTTCAAGGTTTCGATGGCTACTCCTCCTTGTATCGTGTATGAGAAAATTTACTTTCTACATCCAAAAATCATATCTATTGAACTTTACAAAAAACCTATTTTCTGAGAGGATTTATAATACAATTATGAGATGCTCCTCATGCTCTTGCGGAGTTCAAGGGTAAATTATAATGTCGTCAACAAAAATTACCCCAAACATATCGAGATTCAGATGAAACACACAATTCGTGTAGTTCATGAAAACAGTCGGGATATTCGTCGCACCAAACAACATCATTAGGAACTTGTAATGTCCATATCGAGTTTTGAAGGCGGTCATTTTAGGAATCATAATTTTTTACTCAGATTTGGTGGTATCTCGATCATAGATCAATCTTGTAGAATACCATCACTCGTTTTAGTTGGTCCAACAAATCGTCGATCCGAGATAAATGGTACTTATTCTTAATGGTGACTTTGTTGAAATAGCAATAATCGACGCACAATATCATTCCACTGTCCTTCTTCATTAATTGTTCTAATGAGAGAGACTCTTCTCTAAATTTCAGGATTTGATATGAATATGATATGGTGCTCTTCATTTATCAAACCACCCTCCACTAATTGTTCTAATTACCAATTAATATTGCAAAAAAAATCTTTGGAGTTATATTTTTGACATTGCAACCATTGTTAAAACAAAATTGTTAGTAAGTGGAATTTGTACATTGTAATAGAAATAGTGAAGGGATCAACAATTTTATCATTATTTACCATCAATGTAAACATTATCTTAGGCATTGAGACATCCATCTGTTTCTCTTCCCATATACATTAATCCATGTAAGTTTGTCTAATAAATTATTTTTAAAATCTCTTGAGTTATTTATACTTGTAATGAATTATAACTAATTACACTAATAATTGGCAAAATCATAAAGCTTTTGTGGAAGTGGCCTATTATGGCAAATTGACATTCCATATAGCCCAACCAAGCGACCAAACCTACTGTTTGAAAAGCAACAACAAAAGTATTTTGAGTGGTTTGACTTATTTTTGTGTTATAGTATTATAAAATTAAAACTTTGAAACATGTTTCAAAAATCCACTCAAGTGGCTTATAAGACAAAA